ACATTATATAGTAGTGCATAGTTTGGACAGTTACAAAAAGCGTTTAAAAATTCCAATGGCATAGAAACACAAAAAACACTACACTATAAACTATAGTAAATAAACAAAGAACAGAAAGAGTGATTCAAGAAGAAAATTAACTAGCCCAAAGGGAAGAAAAAGTACTAATAAAACAGAAAACAGACAATAAAATAACTCTTCCCATTCGATGTCTTAAGTGGTCCAATGATGACTGTTAAATGAAAATAAACTAATACTTCTGAACTTTAAAAAAGCTTAAGATCCATCCAACTATCAATTGTTTGCAGGTTTGGTATGCTCCACCACCCAAAACTCCACGAGGAAGTGTTGGCTCAAAACAACTTTCGCACCGAGGTCGCTGAGGTGTTGAAACGATGGAGGACTCCGGGAGCCGAGCTGGCCGAGACTCTCCCCTCCCCTCGCCACTTCAAGACACATCTACCCCTTCCCCTGCTGCCTCCCTCGCTACTGGACACGTGCAAAGTCATCTACGTCGCTCGCAACCCTTTAGACGTCGCTGTGTCATACTTCCATCACAACAGGTACAGTGGAACCTCGATAACAAGTCACCCTTGATAAAATGTGTAGTTCTCAAGTACCTTTGACTTTGTGTTACCCCTAACCACATGTTATTGAGAACCTCTAAGAAATCTACCTTGATTACATGTCTTTTTTGATAATCCCCATAAGACTTGTTATCGAGGTTTTACTGTGCTAAGACCTTACTAAATTAGGGACTGCATTTTCTAAAACTGTTTTACCAACTTTGTATGCTGGGAGAGTTCGCTTCTAACGCAGGCCAGATGGTCAGAGATAAGTATGACTCAATAACACGAGGGGGGGGGGGGGGGGCGAGCTTGTCTAGTGATAGAACGATTGCCTTCTGTCCCCAAAGTCCTGGATTCAAAACCTGCCAATCACCCATACATTTTATCTATGTGATAATACCGCTTACTATCTAGCCTAGCGTCCTAAGATGTAAAAGATGGGACATAAGAAAAAGAAAATAAAATACTCAGGGGACCAAAAGGGCGTGAGATTAACAACACTTAACTTACTAGCCTACCCACTGTATAATCCTATTTCAAGCAAAAAAGTGCAACAGACAAAACGATCAGAGAAACCAAAAAAGCAAAATTTGTCTCATAACCACAAGCTATATCAAGTATTAGACAAACAAAAATACCTGAGTTTTATTAATTTCAATGGTAGATACATGTGAATATGAGTGCACAAGCAAGTATATCCTTGATGATTGTTATAGATATCTTGCTGTCCATGGCTACAATGGAGATTTTGAAAAATATTGGCGCTACTTCCAGGATGACTTGTGTAAGTATAAAAAAATTGTTTTACCTTGTCTAATGTTGCTTTGAGGAAATATTTGTTTCTATGAAAAATTACTTTTAAGTCCCGATTAGATTAATTTGCTAAAGTTTATGCAACAAGAACAAATATATTTGAATCATTTAATTAGTTTAATTTAATTTAATTTAGTTACTATCCTTATATATTTAATTTAATCTTTGTAGAACAGGCTATTTAATTCATTTTGTTCTATGTAAACAAAAGGTTATATATTTTTACTATTTCAGTGGTATACTCTCCTTACTGGGAACATGTTAAGCAGGCTTGGGCCGTAAGGAAGCATCCTAACTTCCTTTTCCTGTTTTATGAAGACCTTCTCAAGGTATGCACCTATAAATACCTACTTTGTATGGTCGTCATTTAATAAGAAAAGATTTGAGACCAGTGATCACATGTATAAATACAATGTGTAATAACAATCTTATGTGATAATCATTATTGGCTTATACAGTATGCATCTAAATGGTCTGTTTAAACGAGTTTTTGAGGACGTCGGAAAAACCGTTAACCGGACTGGCCTCGGTCCCGAGGAGTCCGGATAAGAGGGAGTCTACTGTAAGCCGAAATTGATTAATAATCTAGAAAAAATTCAAGTTATAACTAAAAAACACCATAACAATTTATGTTAGTACAGAGAACATCACTATCACTACATAACTATGTTTATAGCAATCAGAAAACAATAAATGGGTGATTAAATAAATATGTAATCGTAAATATTTAGAAGATAACTGAAACAGACCAAAAGCCTGTTTAAAAATCCTACTCATTAAAGTGTTTTACAATGCTTACAAATCAAAATTTACAATATTTCATTTTTTACACAAATGACTTAGTAGGAAAATGTACAAGAATTTGACAAAATCGATAAGTGTGGATTAAGTAGTAACTGAGATAATTAAGAGCAGTAGTAGTAAATATTAATTGTGGCACCATTATTGACCATTGTGTCAGTAACTATTATCCAAACTGCTCATTCTTGCTTTTTACGTATTCATTTTCTTTCTTGATCTCTTATTAAGCTGGCTTAAATGAACTACCATGTAGCCATAATATTTCAACTGGTATCATTAGGCTGTAGTATACATTTGTCTTGGGCTTTCTTGGAGTGTTAAGTTAGGTTATGTTAATTTCTTCTTATTACACTTAGGTTAATCATAATTTGGTTGCTTGACCCAGACATTTTGCTGATTTTGTGTGGTATTGTTTAGATATTACCAAGTTCAAGGGTCATATCTTAAAATTGGATTTCTATTTATAAACATTTTGTCCATGAGGAGTTTTTGAACTGTTGGTGGTGATTTCCAACTATCTTCTTTTAATGTTGTGTATAAGCATTGTCTCTTCTTATTGCAGGCTGGGCACTCTCTAATAATCTTCACTAGTTCTTTTATTGCTTTATTACTTTATGTGTTTCATATGCTGGATCGTAACCTACAAAGACAAGAGAAAAAATTAGAAAATCATCTTAAACATTTTGATTACGGTATTTTTATACTAATTACTAATACATGTATTTCTTAGAACTTACCAAGAAACATTCGCATCATCGGTGACTTCCTTGGCAAAACAGTGAATGAAGAACAACTGTCCAAGTTGACGAATCATCTGCAGATCGACAACTTCCGTAACAACGTCCCGCTGTATCCAGATGTAGAGATTACGGGACTGACTCGAGAAGAGGAACAGGGATTTATCAGGAAAGGTAAAAAATGTCACAAACTGATGTATGCGACTGACTATAATAAATCAAACATATTTAGAAGTAGAGATTTCGGACCTTTGAAATCTGTTGTATTTTGTAAGACATTTTGCTGTTGATATTAAATTAAATTTTTGCCGCTGTACACAAAAAGCAGCTGGTTTCTGTTCTTTTTGTAGACACAATAGGAGTTGTTAAAAAAAGGCTCATTAAAATCGGCAGTCTGTGTTACAAAACAAACTATTAAACAAAGCTGCAAACATTGACGAGAATTCACAGGGCACTTTCACTATAAATACTGGAAAGGTTAAAAACACTATTACATTATCTTAATACCCCCGCCTCAGCAAACCTGCAGACTAAACAAATTTACATTTGCCTGATTTGTTTTTCAATTAAATCTATTTCAATAACATTAGGTTTACCAATTGTCTAGTTTTGCTGCTACAGGGAGGGTAACAAAGTGTGTTTTTTAGTAAAACATTGATAGCTTATTATGAAAGAAATCTGTTTGGTCCATATTTGTCAAAACAAAATATATACATAAACAAGCAAACTACAACAGTTTACTTATTCTCCATAAAAAAAATATGGGAATTTTAAATTTACAGTTTTTTGGAATTTTATCCGTAATCATTAAGTGCATAATAACGCTTCAATATACTAAATTATTTGTTTTTTAAGCTCTTCAAAATGGTCTATAGAGAAATTGGGAAATTTTATTTTTTGAGGGTGAAAAACAAGAAAACCCTATTTTTACTCCATAAATCCCCATGGTCTGATCATGCTCGTTCACAAACTAGTTCGAATAGGCCTAAACATAGGTTTACACGATTGTACCAAATTTCATCAGAATCGGATAAGTTTTGCTCGAGTTATCGTGCTAACGGACACATATATATATGAATTTGAACGGATGGTGTTTTTGGCCTCTGAGGACATCAAAACGAAAAAGTAAATCATTCCTGGGTCCAGGTCTTACCATGAGTACTACGGTAATAGCTTATTTCCTATATGGGTAATTTGCTAAAAACACCTCTGAAGCTGTTGTGGATAAAAAAGTTTATGAATTCAAGCCAATTTCTTATAAAAAATATCAGAAATCTCTTTTTATGAAACAAATACCGACTGTGATTATTTTCGTTCCAGGCAAACTGAAGGAGAACAAAGAATTCACAGAAGAGTTGGAGGCAGAGGCTAACAAATGGATGAAAGAAAACCTCGCCGGGACTGACCTTTGGTTCCCTACTAAATGACGAGAAATATAATGTAAAATTATGTTATTTATTGCTGTTTGTGGGAAAAAAACTTTTATATCATACTCATTCATACAAATTTGAAAAACCAAAAATAATTGATCTGTATATAAATTTTTAGTTTAAAAATAACCTGTCTTTAATATATCCAGAGTATGTACAGAAGATACACAGAAATTCATTTTGTTACTAATAAATGATTAATTATAACTTGAAAACTACTTTACACTTCATTTCCTGTGTGTTTTTAACCAGTTATTTTGTATTATAGGGTTATTGAAATAAAAAAATAATTAATAAGTAAATATGAAAAGCAAAATACAAACAAAACAAACTACTCCCTGGATATATATTTTGTGAGTATTGTCTTAGTTAAAATTTATCATGTTTAGGAGCTTAACTCTGAAATGTACGATAAAATAAAGTGTAAATAATTTTAAAATTTCCTGTTTAGAAACTTGATTAAGCATTTGTATGGAAAATACAGAAATTTAAAATATTGAAATATTGAAAAATGTAGAGAGAATTTTCAAAAAATCAAATTAAATACATCAATTGAATCAAATAAAATTTCTTTAGTTTGCAGGTTAGCTGGCAAAGGAATTATTTTCAAAATCAGATTGTGAACTTTTAGGTAATTTACAAAGACAATATAAAGTATCTTAGAAAATATATCATCCAATTTATTTTTCCTAGTAAATTACAGTAATATATATTGTTAGTATAAAATGGCACGTGAAAATTAAACAATTTGCCATTAAAAAATGACATATTGCTGTTGCATAACACAACTTATGATTTTTTTCTTTTCAACATGTGACACATATTCAACAGAATGCAAACTGTCATATCCACACTTTAAAGTGTGCCACTTGTTTTGGAACCATTGAAGTACTTTAACTTATATGCAACTGCCTACCTACTCTGCTGTCTAGCCTGACCATTAAAAGGAATTTTTTTTCTTCATTGTAATCACTAATTGTAAATTATTACAAATTTGATTTATATTCTCTTATCTTTGGATTTTTTTTCAGTTTTGGTACGAAAAAAATCAAGAGAACCATGACAGATGGTTCAAGTACCTGAATCCTTAAAAATTTGAATTCATTAATATTTTTAAATGGTTTAAAAAGTTACAAGGTAAATAATATGTTACTGTCTTATGTACAAATCAACGCATATCATTTTGTTTAGGATTCAAAAACCCTATTCAACGACAATGCAACGTAAACTCTCATGATAAAAATTTACCATAGAACACAAGAGCACACGATTCATGGATTGTTTTTGAGATGACAACCTTACCTAAATGGAAAATTCAATTTTGGCCAAAAAAAATACACAAAAACTGTACACTATAAACAATGTAGCATAACATGTTGTACCGTGAACAGTGTTGTGTTTCTATTCGTACAATTTTCATAACACCTTGCTAAAGTTTTGTTTTGCTAAAGTTCATACGGACTAGACATAAGATCGGATCGACAGCTGCTTATGTTTACTGAGGCACATATTATTGCTTTTCAGCCAAGTGTTGTTGGAACCACAGAACTGTGTTGATGGTTGCGTCTATGTCCACAGGCACTGTAGACAACGAGTGATTGTCATCGTACAGGTTCATCCTGGAAATTTAACAACAGTCAGATAACATTATACTTCATGTACTATAACAGTTGTATTATTACTGAATAGCAATTGAGTGATGGTCTAAGCTGTATCCAATATATTTAATATTCAAATAGTTATCTTCATTTTTAAGTACACGGTACAATGAACAGCATCAATACAATTATAACTTCCTCAAATTCCGATTTAATCTCAAATTCTAACCTATTCTTGAGATTCAGTAGAGACAGATAATGTCCGACTCACTTGCAAGGCACGTTGAATGTTTTGAGCGTGTGGTAGTACATAGTGCCTTGGGACGGAGGCACTCGAAGGTCCTTCTTGCCGATGTTGAGCAACGTCGGAGCCTTAACTTTGTCAGCGTACTGTATAGGAGAAACACGTCGCAGCTGTGCGAGGAACTCGGGAGTCATCTCTACCTGCTCCTTGCCTGTGTATGTGAAGCCAGCCTCTACGACGGCCCTGCGGATATTACACTGTGAGTAATCACACATGTAAAAAATACAAAGTGATAATTAAAAGTACATGAAGGAAGATCTTTCATCTAAAGAAGCCCTTGTAGGGGCAAAATAGCCAGTTAACTGTGTTGTAAATTTTCTGTGTACTTTCAACTGTCTAGAAGTCTTTTCTTAGATAAGTTAGTTGTGTATTCACTCCTTCTTGCTAAATGTAATCCAAGCCAAGTTTTTCGTCCTCCAAAAATACTTTCTAAAACTTTAAAGTAATAATAATTTTTAACTGTTACGTACTAAGTGCATTAGCAATGGTTGGATTTTTCATATCAAATCTTTTTCTTAGTTTATTTCATGCAAATGAGTACATATAAATAGTGACAATCAAAGGTTTGGTTTACACCGTTTACAGGCCTATCTAGGAAATTTGAGATAAAATGTATTAAAACTTAATTCAATTTTTTAGAGAACCAAGCAGCGGTACATTACATGTTCACTGTTAAAATATCTGTACAAAAATAACAGATGTAAAAAAAAAATTGAATACAATCTTAATATGTAATTCAATAAGGGGGTTATCTGTAACATCTCTTTTTTACCCATCCCACTTAACCAATTTTAACGATTGAAATGTCATTTTAAAGATTTTGTTCTTTAAGGGTTTTTGTTTAGGGGAGGGAAAAATGCTAATGGCAGTAATAAGGTTAATTAATTGCTTTAGAGCTTCGCTACCCTAGTGTTTTAATTTATTTGCTAAAGTGTTGCAGACCAACTTTCTTTATAACGTTTTTAATGTGAATTTAAATGGTGACAACTAATCCTTCAGTTGAATATTTAACCACAGTCTGATTGTAACCAGAGACAAAACAGTTTATGGAAATGGATTTTAAATAGGTTACTTCTTTGTAAACGCAACCTGAGTGATATAGGTAAATTACTGTTTACGTTGTAGATTTTAAAGCAACAAATTTAATTTATTGGTATTATTTTATTAATTTTTTTATGTGAAAACTGTTAGAAATATTCCAAAACAAAAAAACTAATTTTTTGAGAAAAACGTTTGTGAATTATTTAACTTTAAATTTTTAACATGGAAAAACATGCATTGAAATCGTCAATGTTACTTATCATGCAAAGCAAACCATGCAAAAATAACTTATGATATACTACAAAGTTTGTAAGAAAATTTCAACAGAGACAAAGAACAATACATCTACAGCGTCTGTTACGTAAAGCAAATTATCATAGTTACTTATAGTTATACTTATATTACATATTATTGAACTTTCAATCTCCTTGTTGACAACCAGAACATCAATTTATACACTAAATAGACTGTTGCAAGTGAAGACGTTAGTCGGGGAAACAAGAACCAAAGCGAAAGGATCCAAACAAAATAACAACTCACCAGTCTGGAATGTCAGACAGAGAGAGAACTGAGACGACATCGACAACAGGGTTACGTGCAACAACGGCTTTGTAAAAGTCCTGCAACAAAACGCAGAGCTTACTCACCAATCGGGGATATCGGTGGTGGCCAGCATGGAGACTAGATCAACGACGGGATTGACGGCTACTACAGCTCGGAACAGATCCTACGAACACAAGAAAACAATGCGTGACACAGCACATTGGCCTAGGTTTTAAGAATTGAATCGCTCCGCTGAACAACGTTGCAATTGACAAGAGTAAATATTTTCAGGAAACACATAAACATTCTGGCCGCACCAACGCCAACACAGCAATTTGCTCACGCAAATCGTTTGAAAGTGCTGCCAACCAATGTATTTTTAAAAACAAAATATCCCACACAAAAAATTTCATTTGCATCATTGTTCTTTTTCAATTTAAACTTTACAAAATGTGTTGTTTGCAATATTGTTTGGCAGGGATATTCAATCTTTGTTAGAACAGCAAGCTTACCTGAATAGGAAAGGGTCCACTTTGACACAGAAAAAACACACAATCTTTACATTTAACATCAAAATTAGAATAATTTAGTATCACTGTCAGCATTTTCAGTTATATTGAATTTGAGAAAGTGTTTGGAAAAGTTGTGCTATTCTACAAGTGTTCTTCCATAACTGAGTTCTAGGTAAGGTTATAATTTTTACAAATTTTAATTTAAAAAATCAAAAGAATTTAGAAATAATTTTTCGTACAAATTCACATTTTTTTAGTTGAATAGAGGATTTTTGGTTGAAAGAGATATTCAAGTTTAATTCTTGGGACAAAATAAATGTGTGGGAACAAGCTGAGCGAGGTTTTGCTCAAGATAGTTTAAGTAAGAATTTGTACTGCAAACAATCTCAGGAGAATCGAGAAATAAGTCAGATATCAGTGAAGAATTTGCAAAGATATTGAGAACTCTGTAGTTCATAACTAAACTAGAGCTCCAGAGAGAATTTTTCCTAACTCAGACAACATCTATCTGCAATAGCCAGCACCTTAAAATTTCAAAACTGTTACAAGTAATCGTTTAATATTTTGGAAAATGTATAAAGCGGTAGCAAAGTTGAATTTTAACATAAATAAGATTATCATTCCTTTTTTTAGGCGTGAGACACAATTCTGCAACATTAGATGCTTTGAATAAATTCTTATACCAAAGTTTTATCCGTCAATATTGTCACTTACCGGGTATTGACCTGCCAGGTGAGTGACCAGGAAGCCTCCGTGAGATCCTCCATACAACACTACTTTGCCAGGGTCCAGGATAGGGAACTGCTTCAAGGCTGCCAACGTAGCTTGGTGACAGTCCTTGACATCAGTGTCGCCAACACGACCTGGTAGAAAGTCTACACCCGCCTGCCCCACACCTGTGGATCCTCTGAAGTTCACCTGGAGAGTGGCGAAACCTAGAGAAGACAGAGACGATAAATAACACTATTACTAAAGTGACACCTGTTACCTTGGTAAAAGACTACTGAGAATACCCTATTATTTTTGTAACGTGTGAGGGAGTGAGTAAAATAATGCTGATTGTATCTTCCTATTAATTTTGAGCATCATAGCATAATAACTGTTTTTATCTGCAGCTTTTTTCCCTAATACAGTGGTAAATCCAATTGAGACTCTTGCTGAACTTTAGTTTAAATTTTCAAGTTCATCAATTAACTTCTTGATCAGCATCGCAAGTGTTATTCAATTACCTGCAAAAAAACAAAAAGATATACGTCTAATAACACTTGTAATAATATATTTACATTTATACTGTTGATTCACAAGACGGTAAATACATATGTAAGGTGGTACCACTTACCACCTTAAATACATTAATAAAAGTGTTATTAGACGTATATCTTTATAATTTTTTTCAGGTTTATCAATTAACAAAACCACTGAAAGACTGTTGACACCCTGTATACATAATACTCACCAGCACTGACGAAAAACTGATTGAAGACTGAGTAGCACTCAAAGAACATGGCATGTGGGCCTCCATGAGGCCAGACTATCAAAGGAACGCTCTTTTCTTCACCTTCATAAGGGCCGTAGTAAATAGCGTTGAAATCGTCTGCAATCAACACCAGAGTCAGTGACTGGTTCAATCTTATCCCCCTTCAGCATTGGGACTGCTAATGACCTGATTCATTAAAATCTCAGCAATAAATAATACTAGTGCCCAAATTTACTTTGAAAATACAAACTCACTTGTCAACAGATTGCCTTCGGAATAGTCTATTTCTAGTGGGTCAAAATTTATGATCAAATGATCTTAAGACTCTTCTGGACAGGCAAGAATTTCAAATTTAGAAGAATTTTTGGACTCTGAAAACTCTTCAACAGCCAGTTTTAGTTCAGCCAAGTGCATGCATTTCAAAGAGTTTAAACATTATTTATGCAGTTGGCCTTCCAACCAGAAATTTTGGTCTGTTGTGGCTGGAGTAGTTAAAGGTAGGCTTTCCTGGTAGTCGAATTGGCTACCAAATACAACTACTGCATGATTGTATGATGCAAGATTTTATGAAAGGGGTATTTTTCTAAAACTGAAATATTTAATTGTAGGGTAAGTTTATGCATTAGTTTTTAAGTTTTTATCTTTCAGAGATGCTATTGTAATCTAAATGTGCAGAGTTTAACTAATATTCATATCCCACAAAAATTAGTTTGGCACAACATTGCTGATTGATAAAAAATAGTTTGAACTACATAAATTGTCGTAGTTTAAGGTTGAATTTGTTAATTTTTAACCTTCAGAACTTAAATTAAACTAAACAAATAAAGTCGTCATAAGATAGTCACTGTCACGACTTTAAGCCTACAAACCTATACAATTCACAGGCTTGATGAACTATGCCAAAAATAGTCCAGAAGCATGACTACATCGCGGGGTGCGGGACTGACTACTCTTGGAGCAGTCGCCCGTCTCGCAGGCTGCTGTGGGATACAGTACCTCGCAATTTCACCCCCTAGGAAAACACCTTTAGCTGACCCTTTTGCATTGAATTTGTGTAAAAAAACACAGCCGTATTCAACAACCGGATTTGGCAGCTAGGGAAACCGACCTTAACACTTACTGAATTTATCCTTGACCTCTGCCTGCAGCTCTAGGACATACTTCAGGTGAGGCACGGGTGGTGGACACACGGGTTGTCTGACGACTAGAGGTTGTAGACGCAGAGTTTCCTTGTTGATATGAGCCAGATACAGGCTCGGTGGAGTGTCTACCACAGTCTTGTAGCACAGTGCCAATGAGCCTTGGGTACACACGTCCATCACCACTACGCTGCCAATCTCCTCCGTTACTTGGCACACAGCTCCACTGTCTGTTGGAAAATAAACCTTACAAGTCTAAAAATAAAATAATAGGTAATTTTATGAGCGATTTCAAATACAAAACAAGTGCAAACTTAATTTAAAGAATGATCTCATGATCAAAACAAAGACACAACTGTCGCAACAAACCTACCGACTAAGTGAGGAGTACCCTAAGGTGAAGTCCTTTCCCCTTGTAGTACCTCAAATCATTCCCTTTGCCTGATTTGATTTTCACAAAAATAATTACTCAAACATGTCAGATTTTTTTCTATTAGGTTTAACGAGTACCCAGGTTAGCTGCTGCACAAAGGGTAATAACGTGTGTTTTTTGGGTAAATTGTAATAGTATAGTATGATGAACAATTTCGCTAAATTTGATCAAAATACATCTATAAAGAAGCAAACTACAATGGCTGACATATTCTCCATTAGAATTATGTTGAATTTAAAATTTTCCATTTCTTTATTTCCTTGTAACGATTAACACACCTCAAACAAGGCTACACCATTATACAAAATTTCATTAAAATCAGATGATTTTCACTGTCATTGTGCCAATAAACACTAAATCTAAACAAATGATGTGTTTGGCTTCAGAAGACATCAAAACTGAGTACCCGTACATAGGCCCTGGGTCTAGGTCTTACCATGTTATCTACGGTATTAGCTTCTTCCCTATTGGGTAAGCTCACTAAAAGCCACCCTTTGACTATTTTACAGACCCGACTCACCTGTGTTGACGCTGTAGGTGACGACGCTAGAATGCTGTCCTGTGCTGAGCATCAGTTTGTTGTTATCAATGAAGCACCTGGCCGGCAGCGACTGGCAGTACAGTCCGTAGAACACATGTCCACTGGCACACTGAATGCTGGTCTGAACTATGGGCACTAGAGGGTGAGGGATGGCCCCCCACACTGCCTTCACCTGTAACATTCAGAAAGAAAGAAGTTTTAGAAATTGTTTCACAACCACATTCAATCCTATATATCCTGTGGGGTGTGTGTGTGTGTGTGTATTTGGAGCGACCTCAAAATAGAATCCAGACCAAATTTTGACAGTTCAGAAGCAATTTATTAGATCTATGCTAAAAACAAACAATGGAGTTAAACATTTAAGAATCCTCACTGTTTATGTCTTATATGTTCTTCGACTGTACAGTGTTTGTCAAAAACAAAATTTTTGATCCCCGAATAAATGAAAACAATCATAACTAAACACAACAAAAATAACTTCCAAATTGGATCATAAACTAAAGCTCATCAGAAAAAAATGACAATGCAGGTTTTAGTTTCAAGATTCAAAACTCAAGGTTAGGGTACTGGTACACAAACACTACCTTTAGTACATTTATTAATTGTACATTATCATTAGGTATTGATCATATAGTTTATATAACCTAGTAGGTTGGTTCATTCGGATCTGAGGGGTCTAAAATAGCTATAACAGAAAGACATGTAGTAAGTATTACCAGCTCCTGACAGGCGTGGTGAGGCCCGTAGACCGGCCGCTGTAGCCACACAAGATATTCACCATCAGGTGACAGTCTCGGAGACTGAGCAGCTACATCGTCCTTGGACAACTTTACTGAAACGTACTCATTACAATGACAAGTCCTCTTAAATCAACTCTAAATTTACCTATTCCTTCTACATCAATGATATATTTCTGAAATGTTCCTCTCAAGATTGCAGTCCACATTAGGAGAAACAGTGGTCACGGATAAATTGTGAATAGCGCTAATAAATTGTTAAGTACTATTTGTTGGGAGTGAAGGGTTTCAGCAATCGAGATTTCTGTTCTTCAACCACACCTAACCATCTTATATTTCTCCTTGGCTTTGGATGTATGTAGTTACCAGTGTATAACTATCCCTAAAAGGTATTTACAACGAGTAGGCCTAACCATATCTCATATTCTCTTGTGCTTATTTTCACTCAATTTAAATTCTCATAGTACTAGAAATTATAAGTACAGCAATTAAAATAAAATAAACAATTTCCATTAAAAAAAATGTATCCAACAATATTAGGTTATAGCAGACTGTGAACACTTTGTAACTGACTTCTCAATTTGACAACTGCTCTGCATAAAAATTTTTGACTCTTCCAATACATTTGTAATATGTCTACTGGAAATAAACATGTCCAGTTCACTCAGACCAATGAGCTAACCAACAAGCACTACTCAGTTTTACATAATACTCGTGCCTACAAAAAGATAAATAATACACAAGTACTCACTGAATGTGCCATCTTGAGTGAGATGAAAGACATAGCTAGGTCGGCTGGTGCAGTACACTATGCCTAGCCTGCGCGGTGTATGAGGCCAGGCCACAGCCACTATGCCATCAGGCACCCAGAGAGCCTGTAACATTGTCATGTCTTGCTTATCCCACAAATGTGGACTTTGATGTACACTGACTTTAAAACCCACAACATATTTCAATATTCAGTATGCAGCGCTGGGTAGCTGAGTGGTACGAGTGCTCACCTGACAATTAAAAGGACGCTGGTTCAATCTCGAGAATACAGTAGCTTTTTGGTTGATTAAAACTGGACAGCTGTCTTCAAGCATTGGGCTTTTAATTTTTGTATGAAGAAACAGCTATAGTAAAGTCCCACTATTCCAAAAATCCACCTATCCCAAACTTGAGTTAGGAAATTATTTTTTACAAACCATTAGTACGAAGCGAACATGAAATGTAGAATGTTTTCTACTGTCACAGCAGAAACAATAACATCTTCCGCGGTCACGGCGAAATTGTAAACATCTTGTCCGTTCGCAGAGACATCATCATCAATTTCTGTGATTGTGGCAAAACCGTGAACACCATTAGCAATTGCGATTATGAATTATTACAGAAATGTGGCTGAAAAGAAAATTACAGAGTTCAGTTAGCTTACCTAGGCAAATTTCACATTGATTTTCGCTCCTAATCTACTCTCTGAAGTTTTCCTACATAGTCCAGCTTTGCGTCAGGCTTTCCATGCATACTCAACCCCCTTCAGATCCTGGACTAACACTAATCCCACCTTCCATCAGTATTTTGTAAACTGAAATAGACCTATCTATATGTAGCTGAAGGTAAGTTCTTATTAAAATAGAACACAGTAAAATCAATCAACATTCACACAGTGTGCTTCTGTTAAATGTTATCCTCCTCCTCAGTTTTGTCACTGTGACAGTTGATAGGACAAAAGATGCAATGATTTAGGCAGTTTGGCTAGGTTTAAATGTTGGCACATTCAACAGAAATTAATGGCAAGGACACTCTATCAGCTTAATTGAGCTAGGTTTATTTTTACTATCCACTGACAACTTTAAAATTGGAATGGGATGTCTACCTATACCAATAATCAAACCTAGTAAATAATTAATCATCTGCACAGAGTATGTAACGGACAGAAGACAAATTCAATGATACACTTAAGCGGTGTCTAGAAATAGTCACTGGTGTCTAGGGCAGGGTCCAACACCGCCCCCCTCGCCATCATGTACTACAACACCCTTGGTGAAGGAAGACCCTGTGCCTTGTACAATAGGAATTTCCGCACAGCACTTGCTGCTTGTACTCTTCCTTGGTCGTCACAAGTATGTTTCCAGCCCAACGTACCGGAGCTGAAAGCGCACAGTAAGAGTGTTTTCTTTGTACCTTACTTCTCTGTGGTATCAGTGTTGTATAAGGTGACCTCACTAGAGAATTATAATTGCACTTTCTAACATTGTCACTGTTAAAGTACGTACCTGTCCAACAGACACATTGTCTGGGATGCCTGACGTCACGGAGACAGTTCCAAGTGTCAAATCACAGACACACAATACAGGCTGATGTTTGCCGACCATTGTTTCTCCCCAGTCCTGACGGAAAACATGTTCTTCCCCCTACAAAACAACACACATTCCAATGTTTATTGCCCTTCTTCAAGAAAATCGGATGACATAAAAGAAGCCAAAATTTAAAGGTTGTAAAAAAATAAAGTAGTATTTGAGCAGCAGGGCTTTCAAGTGATTCAGATACCTCCGTGTGTACTAATAAATGGATTATATTTTCACAAGTTCACTTGGTCTAGTTGGAGAGAGTATAAAAATACTTACCATTTTGGGTAGTTTCTCGTCAGGAATAGTTGAATCTTTATCCTTAGGTTTGCTCGGGTAAAAAGGTTCAGCTTTGGGTTGCTTCTTCTCGGCGACGTAGAGCAGCTTCTTTTCACAAGGAGACCACTCCAGACAGCTGAACTCCCCTACAAGTAAAAAATTGCTTGTAAACCTCTAAATTATTAAGCTAAAGTGATTACACAAATTCGGAACAAATTTAAAAAGAAAAAAATGTTGAGCTACAAATAAGAAATGTGAATAACAATTATTTTCTGATGAGGTTCGGAATCAGTTTTGACTTTCCATTTGGCCATCCAACAGGCCTCAGGCCTTTACGACACAGAGAATGTATTGTTCAAACCAAGGTGTTTTTGGTCAGAGACCTATTGGAACAAACAATACTTGGACCTTTTCCGTTAATTCACTACCAATAGATTTTCTAGTTTTTAGAGCAATAGATTATTAGTAATAGAAGTGGTAGTGAGTTAAACTTTTGGGTAGGTTAGGTAAGGTTAGTATAGAGTTTAGTAAGAGTTAGAAAACCCTAACCTAACCACATTCCACTAGTGGTAGTGAATTAACGAAAAAGGTCCCAATACTTGAAAAATTCAATATTATGTAAGGGTTCAAACTAATACATTTAATGTCTTAGTTTCCAACCAAGTATAGCGCCACAGGCTGCACTAACTCACTCTTTGAAGAGTAATGAAATAGTATACATATATTTCATTACTAGGATTGAAAGTGGTATTTTCTGGTGCACACTCAAATTTCATGTATGAGGCAACCAACAGGAACGCCAATTTTCACGAGCAAGGTGAGGCCAAGGACGGGAATAATTTGAGCAAACTCCAGAAAATCACTTTTGGTACAAGTTGTGCTTTGTGAACGAAACGGTTCATCACGATGCATAAAATACTCACATACAGAAGAACAGACCTCAGTAAAATTAAAACAATATATATTTCCTAATTAACGTTATTTTGAAATAAAAAGATAAAGATTATAGCAAACCTACATAATAGCGTTTTTGTATATTTAAATTGGCAGATCATTATCATTCATAGATTATACATATCATGATCATGTTTATGGATGTTTTTTTAGCTATTATTCCAGCAATCAAGCCATATAATTATTCCTAATGCGGGACCTTGCAGGTAGTGAGGTACGGTAGTGAGTGTGGGTAGTCAGTGTAGCTTTGTTACTTTCTAAGATCAGCTGTATATATTTAATTTAGCCAGGACCATCTGTTGGAAGCCTAATTTAGGGTATTTACTCAGGGGAGGTATAGATGAGCCTACGATGACAGCTGTGGGCTTCTTATTAGCTGAGGGAACGCCATTACCGTAATAATACGGGTTATAGACATCGGTTTCGGTGGTCTAGTGGTTAGCGTGCCGGGCTGATATGATGAAGGTTCCGGGTTTGAGTCCCGCTGGTAGCATTAACTTTTTGTCTAAGATTTTTTCATTATCAGCAAGTTTGGTTGGTTTGGTTCGGTTATGACGGTTTAATTTTATTATTAAGTCAGTATACAATTTCAACTAAGCAATTTCTAGTTTTATTTAATCAACAGAATTATTTGTTCTATTAGTAAACTTTTTTATATTATTTCATTATCGGCAAGTTTGGTTAGTTCGGTTAGGTTTATGATGGTTTAATTTTATAATTATAAAATTGAATTTGAGGCATTTATAGTTTTATTTTATGAACAGAACTATTTTTGCGATTAGTAAACCTTCATTGCCAAAGTGCTCTCTACTACAGCGCTGTTCACGGAGGAATTTTGAACTAATGCCTTATTCGTACCTCCCCTAAGTCAGACCCCTAATTTAGCAAGTCCCTAAGATAGCTAGTCCCAGTTTCGAACCATCAAAAAGTTACTAACTTTTCTCAGTATTGCCATAGGGATGACCTTTTGATTGCCTACTGGTGAAAAGGTAAAATTTCCCTACCATTGTTAACTGCAGTTCGTAAAACAAAAACTTATCTTAGTTACTTTACAGTTTAAAGACAGATTGTCGTTACATGATAACAGTTGACTTAAGGTCACACAGAAGCCAGACTCATTAAAATTTCAGATAAGGACACAAAAGACAAACAATCTAATCTAGCCACCTTATTTGTTACATAACGTTTGTTTCTTTTATACAAAAGTCACAAGCCTATATAAGGCAAAACAGTGAGAAAAATGAATTAGACTCTGATGAATTTATTTATACTTTATTGCTATTACATTATTAATTTGGACAGCCGGCTGGTCTAGTGGAGGGGCGTGGGACTTTGGTCCTGTGCTCAAATCCTGCCAATCACCATTAGATTTTTATCTCAGTAAAAATACAGCGACCCTCTAGGCCTAGCCTGAAGTGGCCTAATGTGAAAACTGACCCAGACTAGAGCCTTCCTAGAAAGTGTTGTTTTTAGATGGGACAAAAATCAATAATCATAAATACCCGTATACTCTTATTTGCGTAAACATCATGGGTCCCAGTTGTACATACCGAGCTATTATATATCTCTCTACCTAGACAATAATATTAGGCCTACTTAACACGTTCGCTGCTGATCTACGATCAGAGTCATGCCATACGGCACAGCGTGCGTACGACTCTGAACAGAGTCACAAAGCTGTGTTATACAAGTTGGTCTACTGTGACCTCCACATTTATCGGGGATCAACTAAACTATGTCGGTATGTTGTGCTGGTCCTATACTGTACTTTAATTTGGTGTAGGTTAGGTTTAAGTTGGTAGTAAAATTTCGCGTCAAATCCCGTTTTTCAAATCCGCTTTTTGTCCCGTTTTCGGTGATTTTGTCCCTTCAAGCCACATTTCAATGACACCCTGGCTACGGATTCAGGCAGTGCTGTTATCTGTGAGTGTTTAAGTGAACTACGTCCACTCTCGGGGCAACACAGAACCATTACCGCCACTGTCAAGACTGACATATTTTAATGCCTATTGTGCTAATTGCGACGTGCTGAGGCTGTGTCGCATCTTCGACCGCCCCGTCAATGGGATTCTCGTAGCGAACGAGTTAAGGTTGCTAACAAAATCAACAAATGTGGAATTACAATTTCAGGTACATGACTTACCACTCGTATATACATCCCCGTGTTGATCCAGCATACTGAGGTCAATCAGCTGGGCCAGTCGGTTGTCACGCCAGATCTCCAGGTGTTGTTTCTTGCCCCCCGCACCTGCCCCGCCATTGTCATGTTCTCTCAACACTGCACGGCCGACACCTGAGGGCGACCACGCTGACAACAACCTGGCAGAGAATCACAACAACCAATCAAAGTAAAATGTTGATGGGGGAAAAATGAAAAAGTATTCAAATAAAAATCTTATGGTATTGTATTGTACTGTACTCATACAAATTGTACCGTTTCAAAGTATGTTTTAAGTAGGCTAAAAAAACAGCAAGGCCTTATCTTTAACCTTGAGGACTCTTGCGTATGATCTAGGGAATCCAAAAGCTGTAAACGATTGCTACTGTAGATGGAAAGGAGATTAGTTTTGTACAGTAGCATAAAGTTTTGTCTTAAGATAATGATAAACTACAAAATTATCATATTGTGTCTAAGGCATGATGACGATTGAATGCCATTAAAGGGGATAGGCCTGCATGATTTTAAAAGCAGTGTCTCTAAGTTAAGTTACTGCTAAATTGGTTAGTTGTAAAATCAACCAAATTACTAGTGAATTAACATTGTCAAGATAATATTTGTTTATTGAACCTCAATAACACAGCTTCAACGGGCGAGCAGTATCGTAGGCCAGATTTAGGAAAAAGACAGATCATTGAGAGACCATTTAAATTAGAGAATTAGAGTTATCATCTATAGCCTACTTATTTAATTTACTAAATATTAGTCAGCACAAATAAAGGTTCAGCTAAATTTTTGCCTGCACCGAGAAAGGTAAAACATAGCATTATAAATATTTGTAGAAAAAGTTTTCTGTAGGCTACAAAATGAAGCCAACTAAACCTACAACATTAGTTAATACCCTACCTAAATTACTCTAATTAGAACAGCCAACAAATCATATTTACCACAACATAGGTCTGCATTATAAGTGAAATTGGTTCTAGTAGGCTATCTATAGAATATTGTCAGTATAAGCTCAGGAAATAGAACAAAATGTCTACTCACTCGTTTGAAATGTCTACAGGAGTTGTATGAATGATGTTTTTATCCGTAACAAAATGAGTCTGCATAAACTTGGAGTTCTTTCCCTTTTCTAAACATTTTTGGCTCCAAGCAGAACTAACAACCACATTAGAACCCTCCTTACACAAAATCCTTGCGCTGCTTAACCCAGGAAATTGGCTCACAGCTCGGTATTTTGCCACCAGATGTTCAAACTGTAAGAAAATCATATCAGTTGGATATTACCGGTAAGTACCTTGTACGTTAAGGAACACGAGTATACTACCACTAAAGCCACATAGTTTCCAGTTTTTATATACGCAAATGTTGAGTTAGTTGTTGGTATACTTTGTTTTCCTTATGTAGTTCTGACAAACTCATCGTATAAACTAGCCTATTTAAAATATTTCAAAGGTTTGGAACTAAAGATTTATACCCGCCTGACAGTAATTATAAAAGTATGTTAATTGATCAATTTTCGTAGTGAACTTAACCCCATCATATCCTAACTAGAAAGTACCATTCTGCCATGTATTGCTCCACCATCGCATTTAATCTTTTGGCTGTTCACTTGCAAGATCTAAACTCACAACTTACTTAAGTTGAATCACCACATGTCTGATAGGGCCTATAGAAATCCACAGTATTGAATGAACCTAAGGTTTTTAATCTATTTATTTTATAGCCTACAGTAAACTTAAAGTCGGATAAGTTAACAAAGTTTCTCCAATCTTAAAAAACTTAATATCTTGGATAAAACACCGTGGAAAAACTTTAACAAAAGGCTTAACTTATAAGCAGTGAATCTAGACGACATAAAAAAAATTGATATCCCGCTTACCAGGTTGAGAAAATCCTGTTTTATTCCCTTTTGAATAACAATTTTGTTCAATCCCTTGTGATTTACTTGACGTAACTTAGGATCATGTTTTATATAGCTGATTAAACCTTGCTAAGTAGCCAATTATATTTTGATACAATAGTTCAATCGATTGGGGGTTTAGTTTTTATCCAAGTTAATATAAAGAAGAAAAACCGGGTCAGAACCGAAAATTCTGTTGTAGCCTACCCCATCCTGCTTTAATTCCGCGCATGGTCTAAGAATCCCATTTGCGGGATAGAAATTCTACGTACCGGTATATGGAAACAATTAAATGTCTGATAGGGCCTAGAGAGGGTTTTTTGCTTATAAAATTAGCCTAACTTATTAACATTTGCCCCTATTTATGTCGTTGAGTGTTTAAAACTTACGCAAAGGATGCACGTCCGGTAATAAAACGAGGATTAGGCGTCCGGCAGTGACGTCACCGAGCTGTGGAGGCCCGGAACACCATTAACACAACGATACGGTGTACTGCCGTCGGTGTTTGTGGTGTAAGTTAGTGGATAAAGTACTCGGCTGATGTTCAGAGGTACTTAGATCGAATCCCATCGGTGTCACCAACTTTTGTCAAGGATTTTGCTTAGAAAGCCATTTCTTCCTAACTGTAGGCCTACATCTTTTGTTAGAATTTGAGGCATTTATTATTTTATTTTATAAACAGAATTTAACCATCATTCAATTTTTTCATTATCATCAAGTTTGGTTACCGTTGGTACGTTAGTTTGGTACCTAGTTGGTACGTTAAGATGACAGTTACTGCCGGAAGCCTAATCCACGTCCGGTTACCGGATGCGTAGGCCTATCCTCTGCCTAAAACTTATAACTTTTTTGTTTATAACTAAGTAATTTATGATTAATGATAGACTCAGATTACAGGAATTTCAACCAGTCACGCCATTGAGTTTACACCTAAGATATTAGAATATTATATTAACTTACATTGGTCTAGCCTAGGCTTGAAGGTAGGTGCATCAATACAAATATGACAGATAGATAACCTAAAAAAAAGTTTAAAAAATAATAGGCCTTAGGCCTATTAGTTCACAGGTTTACAGTATCCATAAGAATTGTGGCCGATAAGTTAAGTAAATCTATATATATAATACGTGAAGCCGTTATTTGTTAAGGCAACTCCTCCATTATTTGTGGACCAATTTCAACGTTTAAGGTGTCAAAAGATTCGTCTCAATATGTAGTTTTGCAATAAGGTTTTACAATTTTAAAATTCCTACCCTTAAGGGCGTGAGACCCTCTCAAAGGTCGGGTTTTCCCCATAAGAAATACACAGAACAAATTTAAAAACAAAAAACAGCTGTTAATGAAAAGAAACTCATTAGCTTTTTGGGAGTAAATATTATTGTTTGTAATATTCAGTAGGTTAAGGCCAAGTTAAACAGTTTATCAGTTTTATTGGAAGAACAGAAAATGCCTCAAGTTCAAAGAAGAAACATTGAAAACGGGAGGAGGAGACAATTAATAATAAGATATCTGATGTGTATGAGGAGAGTAGAAAAACAGATCCCCATCTAACAGATACCCTTCCAGATACAAATTCACTTGGTGAGATGAATAATATTTGACAGTTATGCTATGCAACTTACTTTGGACGTGGAAAAATATACGAAGCATATAGTGTTTTCACGTTGGTAAAGTAAACTTGGCTAATCACAGATCAAATGAATGCATGCAAGAATTGTTTACTTCTGACACTTACAGATAGAGAAATTTCAAAACATTTATGTAGTAGAAACTATAATAACGCATTGACTATGATAAGTTCAAGTGGTAAGATTATACCAAATCTTTGCGGACCTTATGTTTTTATTGTAAACTTTCTGTATTACTCAGTCTACTTCAATTGATAAAAACGAAAAATGGATTCTTTACTTCTAGGTTGTGTTGCCCGTATCTCTGACAAACTTATATACCAAATTTTTGGACTGAATTCACCAACACAATCCAGACATTTCAGGTCAAAAATCAGAAGTTTCAAAAACTTAGTGGCAATATTAGATCAAACATAAGTGAAGGAATTAGTGTTTATTTATTTAACGATCGAATAGTTACGGTCAACTTTATTTTTATGATTCAGGAGAGGCAAATAATATACGCTTTTAAAAGAGAAAATGAAAATTGATATCCAAATTTTATAGCTACAAGAGTTATCCAACCTATTTCGACAAATGAGTCCATACTTTCAAAAATTTGGTACAGGTATTAAAAGAGGAATTCCATTGAACTACGTGAGAACGTTATGATGCGGGGCATATACTGTGAATGACAGACAACACGTTAAAATACATTAATCAGCTTTCAATGGTGTTGCTGCTTTAGCCTATTATTCAACGCAGATTAAGGCTGTCCAGTTGGTAACCCAGAGTTTGTGGGTATAAATGGACCACATGAAATGGTTGATATCACCCACCTTTTCAGGATTCTCTACGGAGAAAAATTCGTTTGTTTAGAGTAAAGTCTCAAATCAAAGAAATGAAAATGACCCAAACTTAAATTACTTAACACAGAATTCTCAATTCTGGAAAAACTTTGTTGTAACATGTTAACTCGAATTGAAGCAGATCGTTTAGCATTCATTAGATTAGGAGTAATCAGTTAAAACTGGGCGCAGAAATAATGTAGGTAGGTGCACCTTTTACAATGCAAATAGAGGTATTTAAAATTAGTTTCTAACAAGTGTTTAAACTACTCTAAGATGTAACTAGAATTACTCTAATTTAAGCATAAAGTTTTCCTTGGAGTTATGTTTCATACTATGCGGCTCATTGAGCCGCACGGGTACTCTAGTATAAACACTTACTTGATGAGCCATACTCAAAATGAATAGTTCAAAACTAAGTGATCTTGGCTTCACTTCACCGGAATCTAAACTAATTAAATTGTAATTTCGTTTGGGTTTGATGATTTTGTTTTGACTTTTGAATGTTGATGTTGTTTAGGATACATTGACATTCTTAGGTTTGGTCTATACCTTACCTACTGACTGACTGACTAGTGGGAGTCAGAGTGACACTTGGCACTTGGACTAGACTTGAGTGAGTGGACTGGAGTGACTGACTAGACTGAGACTGATCCAACGAACTGATGCAGGCAGCTGGACAAATTGAAATTGCCAAATATATTAATTACTAGCAGAGAACCCGTCCTTCGTGTGCCTTCGTACGGGGTTGGAATACAGTATAAAATGCTTATTGCAGTTATACAGTTGTACCATAGATAAAACATACTCCCTTAGTAGATTTCTCATCCTTATGGAACAGCTGAAGACAATTTTATTGTTAGTTCTGTACGGTTTATGTAGAGGTCGTGTTTTGTTTACAATTTGTTTCCCGTTATTACAGCCATTTAAAACCTCGTTTAACCAAATAAAACGATCTAATCATAAACAATAACTTGTCCCCTAGTTATATAACCAAACAGTAAAGCACAAATCAAGAAATTAACCCTAAAATAATAGAAACAAAGTTTCATCGACACTAGCGCCTTTGTGTCACGTACATGAACTAGACACGAAAAACGTGCTTCAGAATTTACAATGGGATGAGAAGTCTACTTGTGTTGGTTAGTCTATGGTTGGTTATACCATGGTTATACTCAAGCTTTGCGTTTGTAATAAGGGAGGACACAGTTTGATAAAATTTGCATTTTTAAATTTACAGTATTCTATAGTATTACACATCTACCATAGTCATAATGTTCTACCACTTCACCTAAACAATAGAGAAAAATAAATTATCAACAATTCGCAAAATATCACAAATTATTCATGAAATGAATAACATAAACATAACTGTAAACAATCCTACTTTGACAGTTCTCATAGCGAATCACAGTTTTTTGTTGCTGCTTAGTTCAAATTAGCTGTATTCATAAGTACAACAAAAGGTACTTTCCTGTTAAAGGGAACATTCATTATTATCGATGATTTATTTTCGATATATCGATAGTTTTGTTTTCCATCCGATATATTGATAGTAACAAATTGAAACATATCAGCTGACAAGTACGATATAGGACAGTAAATAAATATTGTTCAGTATCAACAAACAATAAAAAAAAAATTACATTGAAATGAAACTGTTCTAAACTAACCTAACCAACCAAACTTGCTGTAACATTCCATACATCCGTTTGATAGCCTATTCCCCATGTGCCTTTTCTGTTTTAAATGGAATTTTGAAACGGTAACTTAGCCTATACAGCAAGTTTGGTTAGTTATGTTAGGTTAGTTTAGAATAGTTTCATGTCCTAATCCAATATATATGCTATTATTTTTGCCTAGACATATTTAATTTGTAATTTAAATGCGTTTGAAGATATTAAAACAGAAGGAATACCAATCGTGAAGTAAAACAAAAATATCGATATATCGAAAATAAATCATCGATAATAATGAATGTTCTCTTTAACAGGAAAGTACCCAACAAAATATTGCGCTGCATCCTGTTGGTAACTTTTTAATGCTTTTCCATTTCATAGAACCAACTTTTTTAGTTGAAACAGCTGACTAAATTCTTTAATTCCCTTTAAATATGAATACTCATAAGGTTAACATGGGGAATTACAGAGACACTGGGGCGGAGCCCGAAAGGATTTTTGAGATAAGAATATGCCTATAATGTTAATCGGGAATGTAAGCTATCATCATGCCAAATTTCAGCCCAATCCGTCCAGTGGTTTATGCGTGATTGAACTTCAAACAAACACACTAACTTTCACATTTTTTATAATATTAGTAAGATTATTGTTGATACTGCCATACTGCTGACTGCTGTAGTTGGTAGTCCACTAGTTTGCCGCCAATCAATGCTGCCTACTAACTAAACTAAGGCAAAAAGGCAGCACATGTTTGTATTTTAGTTGCTGCACTCTTTAGGGGAAATCGTGAACTATTAATGCTAGTAGTTCTCTAGTTTGCCACTTGGGGCAGCATGTTTCTGTGTTGTTACACAGAATAATACAAAACTAGTGTACCTGTTGCTCGAATTCGAGCAATTGCGAAGCATTACAGGCGACTCACGAAGATTATGGAAATACTCATGATATACACAACAGTTAGATATAATCTAAATAAATATAATAGATATAATATAAATTAAAAACATAAACATACATTATTGCTATTACAGTTTTTGTTGCTGCTTAGTTCAAATTAGCTGTTTACATTAATGCAAAAAAAATTGTAGTGCTGCACCCTGTTGGTAAATCTTATAACTTTTTAATGCTTTTGTATATCATAGAATCAACTTTTTTAGTTAAAACAGCTGACTAAATTCTTTGATTCCCTTTAAATATGAATACTCAAAAGGTTTACATGGGGAACTACAGAGCCACTGGGGTGGAGCCCGAAAGGATTTTTGAGATAATAATATGCCTATATGTTAATCGGGAATGTGACCTATCATCATGCCAAATTTCAGCCCAATCCGTCCAGTGGCTTATGCGTGAACTTCAAACAAACACACAAACTTTCGCATTTATAATATTAGTAAGATAAGATAAAAAAAATTTTGACTTCCTGAAGAAATATTTAAAATTAAAACGATTACCTCAAAACCATACAATTATCTTCCATTCATTCTCTAACAATTTAAACATTTAAACAATTTGCAATTGGCACAGTTTGAAATTGTGGAGTGTGCACAATTTTACTTGATAAGTATTTACAGCAACATAGAATGAATCATCAACGTCTGTCATAACTTGTACAGATGTTGATGTTCTACCAATTAAATATTCTCCACTCTTACTCAGTGTAAGACAGTTGTGGGCAAACTCTTTAAATCAAAGCAAACTGCCAAAATTTAAATTTATTCATGTAACCTTGCTGTTAATGAGCATATTTTATACAAATCTATTCCCAACTTTTTTAACCTCTTGAGAACCTAACCAGTCAGCTGTATAAGCTGCAATATTTTTGCAAATCGTCTCGGAAAAATTGAGCTTATCTGGTTGTCGCTGCTGCTTTGATGGTCAGTGTTGATGCTAAACACAAAAAAAACTCAAACTCTCAAAACACTAAAAGCATTGGAACACAAAACGATTTTGACATAATTTTCATGTCCCCTTAAGTGGTGATGCGTATTGACCAGTTTGGAAACTATAATTAATCTGAGCTGTAGGGAAGTGGGGTGGGAAAATGGCAGCCGAGCCAATGAGGCAGTGGATACTGACCACACGTACGGCAGAGATTGCGAGCATTTAAATAATGGCTCGTCGCAAAGGGTTAAATTATAAATGATAAATCAAGTCTCAGAACCAGGTAGGAATGTTTGGCAATTTGATATCGGTTTTGAAATAACCTGCGGTTTGGGATTGACAACACCCATGGGACAAAGTATCATCTTAAAACCAATTTATTACACATGTGCCAAACATTGACTGATAGATTGAATAAGAACCTTTTTATACATTAAAACAACAGGTTTAAAAATCTTATCTAATATACAACCATACTTTGTACAAGTTTTTAAGCAGCTAGATGAAAAATTTACAAGTTTCTTGAACAAAAATCACAGTTACTGAGATGCCGAGAATGTTGACGTCTGAAAATATGACCTTTCTTGATTGTCATCCGTCTGAAAAAAAACACACAAAATCAGTGAATACCGGTACATCTAAATAAAATACAATAGGTTAGGATGCAGTTTGACATACAGATTTATTTGCAATTATTTCTATACCAGTACAGTTAAATGCAGACTAATCTAAATAAAGGTGACCAATCCGTTTAAGATAACCTCTTTTTTCAGTTAATCACAGGTAGGAGTTCAAAAACTATGTCTATCCAGAGAGATCTACAAACATTTTTTTATTTGTTGTTTTAACTACTGTAGTTTTAAAATCTACATCTCTGTACTGTATACAAAAAAACTATATCTTAAAATAAATAATGTAAAGAAGTTTTGTTGCTATTTATTAGGTATCATGTATAGTAATTTTACTATTCTAGTCTAGGATTGTTGATGTTGATTTGATTACTTGATTTTATATCTGCTGTTTTTGGCGTGATTTATTATGATTGTATAATTGTTCAATGACCAAATAAAGAATCTCAAATCTTGTTTTATGAACTTATTAATCAGAGTAAGGGAGCTATGTCGTAGTTTGCTCCAATGCATTCCGGTTGCGAAGTCAGTTCAACTACTCACGCAACGGTAGGTATTATCCGTTGACTAGCTCATTTTCCATTTGAGTTTAAATTTTTATAGTAATTTCAGCTAACCCTGGTTTCGGTTAAACAAGGTTAAGGGGGGTTTCACTGTAGGCCTATTCTTAACCTATACCTATACTACATATTTTGTCAGATTTATCATCAAAGACCATGCTGGGGGTGATGGATGCTTACCTGTAAGTCATGAATGACATCCAGCGTATCAGGCAGCAAAGGTCGGACAGAGTTAATCTCCAGCTGTGTTAGGTGATCGAGCTTCGCTGTCCGAGCTTGACTCTTAATAAACACGTCCATTGAGGAGCGAAGCTTGGCTATTCGTAGATCCCACAAGTCCTACAATATTGTTAAACATTTAGGCTGAACAACTCTCAAAGTCAAACACTTTTGACCTGACATAGTTACATACAGTTCCAAGAAGCGTAGGCGGAAAGTATAAGAAGGAGTTTTTACCAATTCTGGAGGTAATTTATAAAAATGGTGTAAGATAACGGTTAAAACAATTCTCTTGTTACAATATAACCTTGACCTAATGTATTTTTAAATTAGTTAATACACTTGTTTTATACAATTAGAATTCCTACATTTTAAAGTAATTTCTTAAATAATGCTATTGTGCACGGACTTAAAATAAATGCAAAATATCTGCTGGAGATTTTTTGAAAAGATCACATTCCGCCCAAATAGTTTCTAAGTAAGATTGTCATTAATTTAATTTAGAATTTAAGCCTGATCAAATTAGGCCTATTCCTTTTTATGTTTTAAACGCTAAA